TGAAAGAGTGTGTTAGTTAAGCTTTTAGTGTCAAGCTTCTCTACTTGACATTTTGTTTAAACTGACTTCTTGTTTTCGGATAAGCAAATAAACTATCACTACTGAATTATGCACCTCCCAATTTGGGGATGGCATGAGATAACACTCATGCCAATAGCTGGTAGTTGAGTATCATCAAACTATAAATGGTCAAATATTGTTACGTCAACTTATTGAAGCCATGGCTTGATGTTTTCAACAAATCAACTCTTTAGATGCACNTTTTGGGGATGGCATGAGATAACACTCATGCCAATAGCTGGTAGTTGAGTATCATCAAACTATAAATGGTCAAATATTGTTATGTCAACTTATTGAAGCCATGGCTTGATGTTTTCAACAAATCAACTCTTTAGATGCACAAAATTATGTGAATATGGTGTTTTATTGATACCAAGCCTATGGCTAAAACACTTCCAAATGAAACAATAGTTTTTTCACTGATACTCAATGCAATGAAGTATTTGTCCAAATAGAAAACCTCATTAGTTGTACCTTTCTGGTTTACTGGACATAGTAGTATGACATGCTCAGAAGTCATTAGTGTTTGATTAAGGAGAATATTTTTTCATTTGGGAAATACTATTCAAAAGGTTTAAGTGGATGAAATAATATCATGTTAATATTGCACTAATAGGCCCTTTCTACTTGTATAAATGAATTATGTCATTGACTGGTTACCTACCACAGTATTTTGCATATATATATGGAACTTTACCATCCTACATCTGGCTCAATGTCAATATCATGTTGGATGGCTTACTTGTTATTTATATAAGATTCGGCAATTTAGCATCTTTTTTGTATTTGTGACGGCATTTGTCTGGGTTGAAGTTAAATTTGTTGTATGATGTTTCTTGGAGGTTAGTGTGTGGTCGTTAGAAGTTTGTCATCATTGTCAGATCAGATAAAAGTTAGCATGGCCATCTAAGTGTACATTTAGGAGACTGCACCAGATTCTAAAGATACATGCTCTTGGATTTGTGAGAATATCTTTGGTGGTAAAAGGGGGAAAATTACTACTGACGTTGCAATTTAGTGTCAGCTTGGTGGATCAATTTTCACTGTGAAATACAATATCCACTGTGCTTTTGTTGCATCTTGATCTTGCTTTTGATGCTATTTATTTGGAAAAAGCTTGTTGAGAAGAGGTGTGAATGAATACCTTCAAACTTAAAAGAAACAGACCAGCTTGAATACCTTCTCTTTTTGGGTAATAACACTTTGCCCCCTAAAAGATATTAAAATCTTCACTTTACACCCTCAAAATTAAGAGTGCCTTATGGCACCTTGAATTTCTTTAAATTGACGTAATGTGCCTCAAAAGCTGCACGCTGCTTGTCCATCAGTGCCAAACAGCAAGCTGCTTTTGGGGGGCATATTACTACCATTTAAAAAAATTGAAGGTGTTAACATAAAAATTTTAAAATCTATCATGCGGCAAAGTGCCATTTCTCCTGTCTGTTTTGAAAGTTTTGCACACTGAAATAATTACTGAAGATGCCATTTATATGTGATTCGGATGTTTGTTATTGTTGAAAATCTTTAATATGTTCCTGAATTTTCGGTTCTAATGTCTCGCCTCTTATTTTTCTTTGCTGCTATGCTTGTAAACAGGAACTCTTGGAGGACCCTGCAGTAATAAGCGCCATAGATGAAGAGACCGAGTTTAATGCCTTGGTGGTACGTAATTGCTTATTCAGCAAACCAATCTTGGTTTTTGAATGAAGCTGACTGATTGTTCTCACTCCTCATATTTGAATTGTGTTTTTGCAGGAAGAAGAAGCTACTCTTCTTGAATCAATATTAGGTGAAAGGTAAGCAGATCGTTGAAATATTGACATCAGTATTGTAATTTCAGGAAAAAAAACTAACTTCTGTAAATTGTAGATCTGTGGACATCAGTTTTGTCAAAGAAAGTTCATGTNCGAAAGGTAAGCAGATCGTTGAAAAATTGACATCAGTATTGTAATTTCAGGAAAAAAAACTAACTTCTGTAAATTGTAGATCTGTGGACATCAGTTTTGTCAAGGAAAGTTCATGTGAATTCATTTTTTGAGCCCATTTTTCACATTCGTATGATTTTGTTACATTAAAGGGGACGGTAATATGGATGTTTACGTTAGGATGTGTGCCCTCGTATTGAAATCATTTTGCATGCCAAAAAAAAAAAAAAAAATTTGACTGATTAATGAGTATCATATTCACATAAATAGGATATTATTTTATTTTATGAGATGAATAGTGTATTTTAATCAAGAGAGTTGTGAGCATGAGGTTAGCATATTGATGAGTTTGGCATGTTCCAAATAGGATCATAGCAAGGAATAAATACATCATGTAAAGCTTTACTTCTTGATATGGTTTTTATGTTTACCATTTCAGTAAGCTCCTGGTTCTGATCAATTAAAGCCAGGTCTATGAGTAATCCTTGGTGTCTTCTCTATTCCTAATTCTAGAAAGCCATCTGTGTATTTGAGATAAGAGGGGTGGTATGTATAGCAAATGAGTAGCCCTCAGGACCCATACCCCTAGCCCTAGCCGCCACTTAGAGAGGGATAAGGAGGAGAATAGAAAGAGTTTTGAGGAAGAGAAAGAGCCGGACCGCAACTTCGAATATGGAATCCAAAGAGATCAAATAAGAAAGGATATTCTGAATTATAGAACTATAATGAAATATATGATCCACCAATGTTTATCGAATTTGAAAAAGAGTTAAAAAAAATGGATTGATCTTCTTATTTTTATTTCTCGAACCGAGAGATTCATGAATCGGGATCCAAATGCATATAGCCAATGGGAGTAGGAATATTTGGAACGTGTCATTTCAAAGCTGAAAAGTCGTTTTCAAGGCGTTTTCGATCAATTACATATTTATTAATATTTCATTAATTGGTCTGAGATTATCGACAAAAAAGATTTGTCTAAGCTACTTTGTTTCTTTTGGTCCAAATAGCTTTTCTTTTGCCTAACTCACTTCTTTTTTTCTTTGTGAGTTTTGGGAATATTCCAATTCATAGATTCGAAATTTACATCTATGAATTGAATGATCTGAATGATCAACTTTGCAATTAGTTGTTAGAATTAATAGGCCTTCAAATCATTCATCTGAAAAAACGAAAGCCCAGTTTATTGGATGATCATTATACTTCCCAAAAATTGAAATTCTTGATCAATGAAGAAACAATATCACCATTTTTGCTTTCTACTTCACTTGTTCACTCATCTTCTTCAATGTAGCAAAGGTACATCTAACTTTCTCGATCGCGAATGCTTTTGCTCCGGTTTAATTCCCAACAGTTAAACCTTGGCTGCTGCTTTTTTTCCGGCTATTCAAGCTCAATACTTGGTTAGACATACATGCTTAGATAAGATTGTGTCTAATTATGTGTTTAAGTATACGTACAAGTTTAGGTAAGATAGTTCAAAGTAAACGTGTACCAGCAACCAAGTGGTTTGAAGTGAATTGGCAATGTAAACTCAGATGTATTGGGTTTAATTTTTGCTAGTGACTCTCGATTTTGTCGATACTTATGATTATAGCAGTTGAATGTAAGTATCTAAGAGTCACCCATAGGGGTGGATTTTATGTGACTTTGTCTAAAAAAAAAAGTTCATCATATAAAAAAGATCTTGTTAAGTACCCGAAACTAAAAGTTTCGCAATTACACATAGCTCTCCATTCTAACTTGTCCAATATGTGGTGAACATGAATGGAATTGTGTCTCCAACCATTTCTAAAAGCCAGAAAAATGAACCCGTTGTTACATGTGAAAAATGGATGATATTAAGTCAAGAGGCCTCCATGTTGCCTTATATATATTTGAAATAATAATATTATTTGAACTTAATTTATTGCTATAATCCATCACAATGATTAGATTGGTTGTGAGTTAATCAATATTGGGGCCCACTATCAATTCAATAGTCGTAAATAATAATATCAATAAATTAGGTCAGTAAATTAAGCTGAAGTAGCATTGCTCATATTGAAAATGTTGAGGTTTTTCATCTTTTTATTTTTTTTATGGCCAATAAACCAAAATAGTGGTTTAGTAATAAATTGTACCTGTCTCTAACTCTCACGCGGTTATCAAACAGGGTTTGATTCATGACAATAATGTCGTTTGTTAGGCTCTGATATTGTCGTAGTAGTAACGAACTACTTTTTTAAGTTAAAATTTATGATTTAAACTAGACATTCCGCACTGAAAATAGGGGGAGAGAGGAGGATCCACATGGTCTCGCCCAGGAGGGTTAGTAACAATCTAATATTGTATGAGATCATTAGTATAGAAGCATGTGGCTTATCAAAATTTGCAGGCGAATGAATCACCATGTCTACTGAATCATCTATTTTGGTTCATCAATGCCATAGAAAAGTGAGTGAATGTATTCTCGAATCACCAACTCATCTAAATGCTTTTAAGCACATGCAAGTACTAAAATTGTCAAGGAGGTTATAAAATTCGGACGCAAGTTTTCTTGTTCTTATACCTTGTCAAACCACAAACTCATTTAAAAATTTGAACGACACACGTGAATAACAAGTGTATCAATTTTTAACTAAATTTGAAACGGATGTTAGTTCGAGGACACCACCTTGAAACTAATTTATGATATTCAAAGTACAATGTAAAAAAACTAATCTTTCTTGGTGCAAAGTGGAAAGCAAGATATCTTTCAGAGTACAAAGTGCAAAAAACCCAAAAAGTAATACTATAAACTTAAAACATATACAAAGCATCTGTAGCACAAGAAATAGAGTAATGCAAACACGAGAAGATTATTATACAACCACCCAAGAAACTCCCAATATTATACTTCTGACATTTAATCTCAATTGAACATACAAATGTAAGAAAAACGGCATGCCTCTACTACCCAAGAAAGAAGCACCAATTATCCTTTCCTTTCTAAAACACATGCCCCTCTCAAAATGTCTTTGTTCCTTCGGCAAACTAGCAGTCCAATGACATATCTACATCTGGCGAAATCACGGCTAAGAGAGAATATTTGGCGCGGAGAGATATCTTACCACCCTCAACAGCAAGCCGTGCTCCAGACACTACCCAGTACCCAGGTGGGTCCTGTGGTCCTCTTGTCATCTCTGTTGTATCAACAAACCTCAGGAGTTTAGTAATCTGTGCTGCCACTGGAGGGCCACCAGGGTATACAGCGGAGTTAATATTCACATCAGATGGTCGTGGAGGTGGCTTCTGATTCGTTGAGAGACGTGTGCTAATCAATGTAGAGATAATTCCAGATTTTTGGACAAGGTTAGGGGAGCCATCCCACTCAGGCTTCTTGACCACTGTGGCACCAATAACTTTGGAAAATTGGAGGCGCAAGAAGAGAATTTTCTTTAGACCGGAGTCCTTAACTTCAAACTCGGCTCCAGTAACAATGGAGTGATCCTCATCAGATTCAACAGGGGCAGTGCATATATGAGAGAAGCTCTTCCACTTGAGCTTCTCATAGTACCTTCGATCATAAGAGTTACCAAAGTTGCCATTTCGTTCATCTTGAAGTTGAAAGCTTTTTGGCAAGGAGGAAAGGTGCTGCAAATGGATTGCTAAGCAATTGTTTCTTTTTCCTTCCAAGTAAAGTCGAAGGCCAGTCACTGGCCTATTATCCACATACACCTGTGGCAATATTCATCATAAGAATGATTAGTTAAGTATTTATTGACTAGCCATATAGTTCTATAAAACTTCCACTTAAGCATGTTGTTAAACGAAATTCAAACATGTTAAGTTAGTATTTATACTTTAACATGCTCCCATAAACTGAAATATGAACAGCACCTTTGTGGTCAATATTATTATTCAAATTGTTGTCCAAATTCATCTAAAAAGCAAACACAAGGCTAGCCCTGCATTTCGAATATCACATTCAAACTTAACATGCTTGGCAAAATTATGCAATTTGAGTTAGTAAAGTGCAACTGTATCTATTATGCCCATAAACTTAACATGGTTTTGCAAGTATCTTTACCAATTGAACTTTCAGTTAATAGAAAGTGCAAGCGACTGGTTCAGCTTTTTTTCACATATCTCTACCAACTGAATTTTCAGGTGGTTCTCATTGTAGGATGGGTTATGCATGTTAATCTGAACACAAGAATGTCTAAGGCCATAGATGTCTTTTTCACATAAAAAACAATTATACACAGTCAAAAATATCTCTGTCTCTAAAATATCCCATTGTCCTCTCAATCGAACCACCACCATACCCACTCAGATGATTGGTGTCTGCCAGGGGGGCTGACACCATCTTTGACCCAAATTACGTTGTCATGCCGAAATCACTAGTCTTCTCACTCTCTCCCCACCAAACAAACACTCTGAGTCTCCACTGCCACTACCTCATCCCCAAGGCACACTACTAATAGCCCACTGACTCGATGAAAGATGACTAGTCATTACCACCATCTGAAGCCCAAAATCCANACCAAACAAACACTCTGAGTCTCCACTGCCACTGCCTCATCCCCAAGGCACACTACTAATAACCCACTGACTCGATGAAAGATGACTAGTCATTACCACCATCTGAAGCCCAAAATCCAAAAAAGTATATTTCCGTTCCACCTCCGACAGCCCAGTCAACATCCCCCAGTGTCAAAAAATCTAAAAAATGGCAGTAAAATTCTAGACTTTCACTACCCTAACTAATTTTATATACTAACTTGATGTAACAATAACTTATTCTTATTATTCGTCAACATGGGTTTATTCAGAGTTTCTTCTGTTCAGACACACAAAACACCCTTCTCTATAAACAGAATCTGTATATTCTTACCCATCAAGCATACGATTTTCAAGCCTAAAAGTAAATGAAGAAACCATGTTGTCTCAGAAATTCCAACCACCATTCCTGCTTGTGCCATAGCCATATTTCCACCCTAACTATTAATTACACCAGCATCATTAACCCCAAAATANAACAGAATCTGTATATTCTTACCCATCAAGCATACAATTTTCAAGCCTAAAAGTAAATGAAGAAACCATGTTGTCTCAGAAATTCCAACCACCATTCCTGCTTGTGACATAGCCATATTTCCACCCTAACTATTAATTACACCAGCATCATTAACCCCAAAATACTCTAGGACTCGCCACCATTACAACATTTTTACCACCGTTATCTTAGAAGGTGGTGCCACCATCATCGATAAAATTGTTGCCATCTGATCAAAGCATTAGCCCACCATCACCCCCACAATCTCAATATCTTTCGGCCATCCCAATAAATCAAGTAACTCATCACCCATCAGTGATTGAATGATGCTGAACGTGGTGGTTAATTTTTTGGGATAGGATAGGGAGAGAATATGGTTGTTGAACGGACCAAGTAGGATTGGCTAGACTCGTTTTTGGCTTGCTCAAGCTCACTCATATTACAAAATGAGTTGAATCTAAATAAATTGTTAGGCTCATTTTGTATCTGAGCCGAACCAAGCCTTGCCTGAGCTATTAGCGAGCCAGCTCGTTTTGTTTATTGTACAAAATACACATGTAAGTAAAATTAGGAAAATTAGTAAATATAGAATCCCTTTTAAACCTATGTCAAGCTGCCACATTTTTTTGACACACTTTACATGTGTTTCCCCCGCCCCTCTCTCTCTGCTTCTTCTACTCCCCAATGTCTCTCATTCTCCAAAGACCTTGCCTCTCTCGATCTCTCACCAATGCCACCACCCTCAATCAAAGCCCTAATCAAATTATTGTCATCTAGAGTCATCCTAAGGTGCGCATATATACCTTTAATTTGTAATTTATTTTGCGATTTATAATTTTTCGAAGCTAGGGTTTGTATTTTGATTCAGATTTTTGTGAAATTTATTGGTTTGAGATTTTTTTTCTTAGATTAGTGGTTACGAATTTGAGATTTGTAGATTTGTGGATTTGGGAATTATTTAGGAGCTCGTTTTTGGCTTAGCTCGAGCTTGAACAATAATATAGACTCAGTATTCGAGCCAGAGCCAAGCTTGAAGACCCTTCAAAAACTCAATCCAAGCTTGAACAAACCGAAGCTCGATAGGCTCAGCTCAATTAACACTCCTAGGAGAGACCCATCATTGCATATAGAAACATGCATAACACAGAGAGGAAAAGAGTTATGTTTGTTAACCAGAGCAGTTCGTGATTGGCTTTTGGGTTGGTCCTCCTTTGCGGCGTCTAGCATTGGGTTCTCTTGGCTTTTTCCTGCTTAATGCCCGATTTACTCTAAGTTGAGATAAGGGGTCAGCACCTCAAACTTTCTAAAAGTCAAGTATATGGAAGTACCCCGATAGGTCTAGCTCCCTAACTAATTGTTTTTAGAGAGAGAAAAGAGACTATGCATACTGAATGGTTTAGAGAGAAAGAAAGAGTTGTTCTGTTGTTAAACTTCAAAACGTGGCCAAATAATATTTCAACCATTTGATTTCAATCACTTCCAAGTTATCAATTTCCTTCCAAATCAATAGCCTAAGGTGACGAAGAAAACCCATTGAGATGCAGGTGAAAAATGAACAATATTGTCATCTCAAATATAGAGATCAAAAGAAATTTCGGGTAAAGTTGAAGGTGAGAAGTCAAATTTCCCCAAAAGACATATAAACACATATCACATCATTGGTTATTCCTCGTTGACATGCGCAGAAGCACAATTCCTTAACCTAATTGTTAGCCAAGGGTCAAACTCTCAAATACGAGCTATCATTTTTGTACTTCCTCCGAGTAGCTATAAGAATTAAGAAAAAGTAGTTACCATATAAACGAATCCCATCATTGAATGTACCTTGGGACATTAATATAAAGAAAAAATATTTACCATTTCACACATGAATCATGACAAAACTTCAGCTGCATTGCAAATCCGTAAAAAAATTAATAATACTAACTCCGCCCATTTATAGATCCAAACATTACCACGTTGAACCTGAATCTATCCCACGTTAGGATAAACACAAGGATTGTCTCACCCTGCTTTATCTTGCTGCTGTGGAGTATATGAAAGCCAGAAAGTGCAAAAATCAATATCTTGCAGATGGCACATAACTGGCAGGAAAATGCAATAAACTGTGATAAAATTCATTGGGGATGGGTTGGTTTCAGTTTATTTAGTTCTATTCTCTTTCAGTTAATTTTTTTTTCTGGGTTTGTCAGTGGATTGGATGACTCAAATCAACTGTTGGTGACCACTCGAGTCTGACATTGAGGTACTTCAAGCAAAATAAACCTGACTTCCTCTGTTCCACCTATACAGCTCCATTGATTTGTTCTGCTAAATAAGGAGACATCAAGTCCAAATCTCGACTTAATGACTCAAACATCATTTCAAACCAACTTGATGGCAAGCTATTGAACCCTTCAGTCAGCCACAAGCCATCTATCTTTTGCCATGATTCTGCATGACTAACGACTTGAGCAGATCTCAAAAATGAAGAATTGGGAAGCTAAAAAGGATTACCATTTCTCAGTTTATAGCCATCGCAAGAATACATAGATACATAATCCAGATCAAGGAAAACACAAGCCAGTTTAAAAAGGATTGAAATCAGCAAATGAATCTGTAGATGAATTACCGGATTTAAGTTCACATAGAGCTTGGGACCCATAAGGCTGAACTGTAAAGATGCACCATTTTGCAGCTTACTCTCTGGACCAAGGGGAAGCTCACCAAATACTGGTGCCCATTGCCTTGGAAGTTGAAACTCCAGGAATTGATGAAGTTCTTCAATTGGTGGTTTATCTACACTCCAAACCCGAAAGTAAATAAGTTACAGAAAGGACAGTTTGCATTGTGTAATAATACCACTTGGCCACAAACTTTAACCAAATTAGAAAGAAAAAAAAAAGGTGCTTAAAAAGAGGATAAATCTAGTAAAAATAAGGCACCTTCTGCTCAGGGACCCTGGTATTCCAATCTTTGTTCCCTTGATATGCAAATATATCATAAGCACAGAGAACCAAAAAAATACCAAAAGGAATATAGAAAAACAGTTGGGATGAGGCCATAAGAAGTCAACTTGAGTTAACTGTCGATGAGAACGACAAACTATTTCATCTTATTGAAACCAATTACTTCAAGTATACAAGCTTTCGGTTGGCTAAAGAGGGTGTTGACCACTTTAGAATTTCAGCTTATGACAGCAAATTGTTTCTCAGAGTGCAAAACTCCCAACACATAGCATACCACATAGCAAAAGTGTCAACACAGATTCAGTTGTAAGATGTTTCAGTGCACATGTAAGAATACTTTACTAACTAAACAAGTTAAGCCGGGAAAAATAAAAATCAAACGTAACAATGATAATTCCAACAATCAGAATTCTTGCTCACATCGTAGATAGAGATTAATTGCATGGCTCAAGAATCCACTCCCGTCAACTCCACTCAACAAGGACGAAATTGGTATGAAGGACATTGAGATCACTTCAGGTTCAAGCTGAACAGTTTGACACCATTTAGTATGCGATAATTTTTTATTACTGCTTCCTCCTCTCCTCCTCCAAAAGAATGTAATATCCTGCAATTATATCAAGGACACAACATGAGGCCCTTGAATTATCCTCGCTCATATGATTACACAGAACCTTGAGCAGCATGTAACATGCAATGCACACATTACGGAAATACAAGGCTCAACACCTAACATGCACATGAGTCTCCATTGGCAGTGCTGGGAGGGGGGGTTTCTTTTTGACAATGTGTAGAAAGGCCTAAATGGCCCATATCCTAGTTTCAGGGTGTTATTTTGTCAATGTGGGACAAGATCTAACAGTATCAGTGTCCAGAGTTGGCCTATAGGTAAGTGAAACAGAAAAAGAACTATTTAAGACAGATAAACAGTTTCATCAGTGCTTCTCTCAAGGAAATTGACGAACCCGTGTAGGAAACCAACACTTAGGCTTAGCAGTGTAGAATTAAAAGATAAAATCTCTGTTTTGGAACCATGTTCCAACATTCTTTTGGTGACGTGTCATATGCTTCTTTAGGGCGTGTCTATAGTCAAAAAATAAACATGTGTCAACATGTAATTAACAAACCTTGAAAGTTTATAAATGATTATCTCACAGTAAAAATTAATATTTTTTAAGACTAAGCATGATAAAGTTTTACTTAAATTTTTTAATAAGAAAGATATTCTGCTTTGTCTTATATGTATTTTCTTTCCATCCTCCTAGTTGAACGATGAGAGAGCAACCATTGTAATTACATATGTTCACTCCATTTTCTCTAAAAAAATCGAGAATTATCGACTATAATGATCCATCGTCGACAAATTCCTATTGGAGTNCAAAAGAATGTAATATCCTGCAATTATATCAAGGACACAACATGAGGCCCTTGAATTATCCTCGCTCATATGATTACACAGAACCTTGAGCAGCATGTAACATGCAATGCACATATTACGGAAATACAAGGCTCAACACCTAACATGCACATGAGTCTCCATTGGCAGTGCTGGGAGGGGGGGTTTCTTTTTGACAATGTGTAGAAAGGCCTAAATGGCCCATATCCTAGTTTCAGGGTGTTATTTTGTCAATGTGGGACAAGATCTAACAGTATCAGTGTCCAGAGTTGGCCTATAGGTAAGTGAAACAGAAAAAGAACTATTTAAGACAGATAAACAGTTTCATCAGTGCTTCTCTCAAGGAAATTGACGAACCCGTGTAGGAAACCAACACTTAGGCTTAGCAGTGTAGAATTAAAAGATAAAATCTCTGTTTTGGAACCATGTTCCAACATTCTTTTGGTGACGTGTCATATGCTTCTTTAGGGCGTGTCTATAGTCAAAAAATAAACATGTGTCAACATGTAATTAACAAACCTTGAAAGTTTATAAATGATTATCTCACAGTAAAAATTAATATTTTTTAAGACTAAGCATGATAAAGTTTTACTTAAATTTTTTAATAAGAAAGATATTCTGCTTTGTCTTATATGTATTTTCTTTCCATCCTCCTAGTTGAACGATGAGAGAGCAACCATTGTAATTACATATGTTCACTCCATTTTCTCTAAAAAAATCGAGAATTATCGACTATAATGATCCATCGTCGACAAATTCCTATTGGAGTACAACACAAATTACAAGTCATGAAACACTAAGATACTATAATTTGTCCACACATAGTGATAGAGTATATAAATTATAATTATTTTGTAGCGTATCACCGACGTGTCCGTATCCTACTTTTTGAGAAATTTATGTCTACGTCTTATCGCATCCGTGTCTTGTGTCTGTATCTATACTTTTTAGATTCCATCAACCATGCCGAAAATATGCCAAAAATAAATGATCCACTTCATTTGGAAACTCATGAATATTAGTATAAATCACATCATGGTACATGTCACATTAGGCTACCTAATTATTAGAAACAGAAACCAAAAAATGTAGTTATTTGCCTAAGAAGGGTTTCTGCTCCCATAAATGTCAATGCCCAATAAACTCTTAGCTTGCAAAATCTAACCTCTTTGAGTGAATAAGAGCTTGACGAACTGGAGTCCATAAATCTCAGCCCTTGTTCATTAATCTCAACCTGGAATAAAAAATGATGATGTGTTAAGATAACAAATATCAACTCCAGAAATAACGGAAAATGTCAGATAAAAGGAAAAGAAAGATAAAACTTGACAAGAATAATAAGCAAAAGAATGCTCATGTTATCCACAAAGATAAATGAATACCAGAAAATTGGCATTTGAGGAGTAATAGTACTAATTCAAGAAGCAATAACATAGAAAGGCATGTTCAGAAGGTCATTTATTTCCAATATCTCAGTATGGACAAATGAGCATTTACTGTCGCTCCAGGTCCTACCTTAAAAATAATACACAACTTAGTCCCAGTAATAAAGTCTGTGAGGGATACACCAGGAAGACCTAACATTCGGCATTATTTGTGCAGAGTGGTTGCCCTCATGTTTCGAACTCACAAACTCAAGGTTATTAGGCCGATTTTTAACCACTTGACCAGTGGTCCCCTTTGTGATCCTACAAAATCAATAGCCTTGATATCTCAGTTATGTCTCAATGAGCCCTNAATGTTTCGAACTCACAACCTCAAGGTTATTAGGCCGATTTTTAACCACTTGACCAGTGGTCCCCTTTTGTGATCCTACAAAATCAATAGCCTTGATATCTCAGTTATGTCTCAATGAGCCCTCCACCAATCTTTATATGATAAGCTACACCAAAAATAATGTATTCATGAAACCATTTGCATTTATGATTTCCTCTGTTTGGTCATTACTTTCGTGTTGTTCATCAAAACACCACAAGTAATACTTATTGTCCTTATTCTGTACTTTGAGTGGCAGGAAGAGCATAACTTAAAAAGTCCATCCCAAGATGTCCATGATATCAATTTTAAGCAGCATATTACTTAGGTACACACCTACACAAAGCTGACNTATTGTCCTTATTCTGTACTTTGAGTGGCAGGAAGAGCATAACTTAAAAAGTCCATCCCAAGATGCCCATGATATCAATTTTAAGCAGCATATTACTTAGGTACACACCTACACAAAGCTGACCAACCTGCATGCACCAAGATCGTTCCGGCTAAATGTTCATTGCTACATTTATAACAAGCTTACAATCTGGTGCCCACCATAAAATGAACAATCCCAGCCTGAACAACATTAAACATTTCATGAAGATAACCAAAGGTTAAGCCATCAGACGGGAATGGATACTTATAGGCATCACAACTGTAAAGATTGATCGCGGTTTAACTGAGGAAGGGAATATTCCTAACTGAACAATATAACAAGCTAATCCTAAAGCTGTAAATAATAAAGATGATCTCTAATGAGAATACATCATACCACGTCTAGTGAAAGAGACTTATTAGTTGATCTCAATTTGATAGAGCCACAACCAACGCAGATATGAAAAAAACAGCAGACCTAAGAATTCTAACTCAAAGGAAGAAGTTCTAGATGAGATGTCCTGTGTATCGGCCGAATATTGATTTGATTTCCAGGAAGATATGAGAGAAGATGAGAAAACGAAATTTGATGAACACTTTGACCTAGAAGATGGATAAGTTACATAGGGTTTAGTATTTACAAAGGGCTGGATGCTTAGATTGAATCTAGCTACAGTTGGATAAATCCATTTAACCCCAGTTCCTCTTCTCCATTCCCCCAATTTGCTCTCCCCCCCAAACAACAAAAGCCAAAAAAAAAAAAAAAAAAAAAGC